CCTACTTAAGTATTTCCTAAAATCCACATGGAAGCACAAATGGCTTTAAACACCTGGACAGATAGAGATTTTTCATCTTATATATATATATATTTATAGATATTTATAACAGTAAAGATATGTTTCTCATTACTACAATATACTTGTTTAACTCCTTGAAGCAGCTGGGAAGAAAAAAAAACGAACCAGTTTCACTACAGTCACATCTGATATGTGTGTGTCACAAAATACAAACAAAACAAGCCATGTGTGAGATTGGAGGCAGACCATTCCAGGACAGAACAGCTAAGAGGCAGGCAAAGAGTCTCAGAGGGAGCAGGCCTACATGTCAAATGGTGGTTTTGGGCTCTCCGGGCGGGAGGGACTGGCCTTGCCCGGCCGGCTGGAGGTCAAAGACAAGAAAAAAACAAAAAAAAGGGAAAGGGAAAGGGAAGGAAAAGGAGGAGAAGTAGTAAAACAACAGTTAAAAATACAGAAAGGAACTGGCATCAGAACAACAGAGGATCCACAACAGAAATTAAGAGCAATAGCACTGAAAAAAGAGAACTTAAATCTGAATCAGGCCTGGTTGAAAGCCTGCAACGCAGGTGGCTCATTTAGAGATATGACATCCGAGATGTACAGGGTTGATATATTTTTAATTCTCAAGTCTTTTTTTATTTTTTGAACACATGTAGCATGAAAAGTAAAAACCAAACCTCAAGAAGATGAGTTGCGATCGACAACGGTTACAAGTTTCCCCAAACACGTACCATCCACATGCAAGAAAAGGCTACGGAAGAAGTCACCACAGTACCCAAAAAACACTGAAAGATGTGCTTAGTCAAAGCTGAAATATTTTCAACATTACACAGCAAACTCCCTGAAAACATTTGGTTGTCTGTTTGCAAGGGGGGAGCAGCGTATCTATTCCCCTCTCCCTGCCGGGTTCAGGAAAGTCAGCCAAAAAGGATGATGCAGGACAACGGCTGGCAGGAGCCAGTGCGTCACCAGCAGCATTTCCCAGCTCTTTCGGGGAGCTGGGTGCGCGCAGGTCCGTGTGCTCCCTGCACGCTGAGGTGTGTGCGCTATCTCAGACTTCACTCTAGCAGGACTATGCCGATCCATTGAGTTCCCCCCTTCTTGATCTCCCTGCCTCGCTTAGATATAAGGTTGATTGCACTGTTCCCAACATTGATTTTTGCACCTTAGAAGTCAAACTAATACATAGGACATTTAATCTGTTCCTAACGGTATCACATGTTTTGACAGTATTTTTTCTTCTAAGTCACGCTTTTGTCTTCTTAACTACAAGGAAATAAAATAGCTACAGACCAGTCCTAGGTGCTACAGCTAACTGATGCAGGCAGGACACTTATCCAGGCTAGACCAGGCAGATGAAATTACTGGACGGACAGCCACCACTTGGACTTAAGGACGTCCCTGCGACTGATCTCTCCAAGGAGCCTGGGTACTTCAGGGATCCATGCCACTGAATGAAGGCTACTCTACGCTCACAAAGCAATACAGGACGCACGAGTGAAGACGAAGAGCTCAATCACTAGGCTAGTGCTTTACGACACACCAGGAAGGGGTGGCGGGAGGCAGAGATGTGGGATGGATGAGAGGAGTGACTGTGGCTGTGGAAGGGAGGGTGGAATGGGGAAGCCGCCAGCACGGCATTCGTCGCCAGCTGTCTACAGCCTCGAGTTATAAATCTAAGAGGGACGGTTCAGCCGGTCGGATTATGGTAGGTCGAGTAGGTGAGGCAGGGCCCCTTCTGCTGTGAAAAAGCAGAAAACAAAAACAAGAGAACACACACTGTGGTTAGCACAGCAATTGCAGTCACAACTACACATGCTTCTCCACCTCGCCTGAGCCAGCAACAGAATAAAACTTGAGGCACAAACTACCAGAGTTCAACTCCACAGAGGAGACTCACAGGTTTACATCAGGCCTCGCACTGGCCCTTCTGCACAGCATGGATCACCAGTAATGCAGCCCACTGGACAACCAGTTTTGCTTTCCCTCTGAAATTTGGAAGTGCAGATATTAATTGCCAGCGAGTGCACTGGCTCTGGAATGAGAGTTGAGAAGCATGGACAACAGTGAGCTCCTGTATCAAGCACATGACAGTCACACAGCATGGATGGGGTCCTCTGAGACGCGCTGCTGGCAGAGGTTCTTGGCTGGTTTGGAGGAGCACCTTCTTCCCTGCCCTCGAGGCTACTGCAAGCCTGAGATTCCCTACTCCAAGACACGGTACTTTGATGCTAAGGGCAATCTTGCTGCTTTCAATGCTCTTGTTCTAGTGCTTGGCAAATACAGTAAAAGAAACCCTGGCCATTGCTACTCCTTTCTGTTTCAGCTCTCTTGCTGGTACTTCAGCTGTATAAGTAGGCAGCAACTTAAGTGTTTGCTTCTGCATGGATTAAATGTTCTAGGATCTCCTCCCTGTAAGGGACTGGGGAAAAACAATCATGCTGGTATCAGAGGAGCATAAACTGGGGCAAGCTCCCTCATCTTAAAAAATGAACCAGAGCAACACCACAGTCCTGTTTATTAGGCCTCAGCAGAATTTACTGCTCCATATCTATTAAGCCCCAGATCTCAAAACAATTATAACCACTTGTTCCTTGCCTTGGGAAATGATACATTAACAAAAAAGCTTCAGACACAAACATTTCCAGATGTAATTTCCTTGGCTGAAAATGTCACTGGGGACTGCAAGACCCCATTGTCAGCATGCCAGTCAAGTCACTTTTCCTGTACAGCAAATAATGATGGGATTAAGCTAACCTGGAATTACCATCACTTTGGAAGGATGCTGAAATAGTACTAATCTCCCAGAAGCAAAACTTGCAATGAGATGTTACAGCTGGGGAATCTGTGAACCTGAGTTTCATGACATGTGGGACCTTCACATTACCTCTAAAGGGTGCTCATGGTATAAATGCAGCCATACCAACCATTCAATGGCTACTACTGCCATTGGAACAGCACTTCAATTAAAGCCTTACAAAACTTCAGCTCACCCTTTAGTGTGATGCTGTTGCACTGTCACATGGCTTAGAAGTCTTTTGGGTTTTTTTGAGAAACTTGAAGGGCTTTTTGCATTCCAGGAGCTTGGAGAAGTTGTCCTAAGAGCCTCTGTGGATGTATATGAAAAAGATGCCTGAAGTCACTGGACTGCGTATGTGTTCTGGCAAGAGGCCACTTGACCCTACCAGGATAAACAGGGTTGAAAGGAGCACAAGTATTTTACAGGTAGATGTAAGGTACACTACCTTTTTGGTAACATAGTATGATTGATTTTTGAAGACACCTGCTTCTCTCAGCACTCAGAGTATTTTAGGGATAGAGAGACTGTCACTTTCTAAAGCTACAGGTTGTGTCTCTGCTCAGGTTTTGCAGACTTGCAGAGTCTGCCTAGTAAGGTTACAGAAGGCTGAAAACGGCTTCCCAGCAGAAAAAGAGACAGAAATCTATCAAGCAAGATCTACCCCTGAAATGCTGCTTCAGTCTGTCTCACTGCATTGCCAAACAAGCCCTTTTACATGACTGAAAAGTCACCTTCCTCTGTCAGGACAACAAGGAATCAAGTTTTGCTCACAGGGAAGCCTGTGGCAGTCTCCAGTTCACAGGAAGTAAGACCCAAGTCCTGTCAGGAGGCTGAGGAGAACGGCTACACTGTCAAGTCCCTTGAAAGCAGTTTTTGAAACTATACCCAGATGGAACACTGAGATAATCATACCTAGAAATCAGCAGGCTAATGGAGTTCTGCTGATAAGGACCTAACAGAGGTGGTAAAACACTGTATTTATTCCCTTGGGCTGCAAAAGGTTTGAGGTGGGGTTTTTTTTGAGTTGTCTGGGTTTTGGTGGTGTTTTGGTTTTTAATTTTTATTTCCTTGGTGCTCTTTATGCCAAATTATGAACAGAACGCCCCATAACAGCGAGTCCCAGAACAAGGTACAGACAACAGCAAGCCTCTTTTCTGAGATTCTTCACCAAGATGCATGTTTCTAGGGCTGCCAGGGATGTCTGCAGTAGGCAGAGTATGGGAGGAAACTGCGGATCGCTCCAACACCTCTGCAGTATGTCACCAGTGAGGAGGGCTGATGGATGACATCTTCAGAGAAGATGTCAATCCCTGAGCAATCACTGCATTGGTTTGACGTAATGTGGCACCTCTCAGCTCTAACTGCAGTTACACGCAGCAATAACAGAGCCCATCTGCTGCAAGATGGGGGCTAGCTGTGAACCCCCCGCTCTGGAGCAGGGGCTTGGACTCATGCTATTCTTGCCAAGATAGGATTTCAGCACACATTCCCCCAGCTCTCTCTGCCACACCAGCAGCAAGGGAATCTACAGGAGCTGCTGCTGCTCCACTCCTCTCACTCAGACCTTTCCCTTCAAAAAACATCCAGAGGAAAAGGGCCCAAAACACCCCCACCTGCCCTGTTCTGCCTTATCTGCCCCTTTGTCAATAAGGGCTGGATGTTCCCAGGAAGAAGACTTGGGACAATTTGCCAGATCTCTCTCTTCACACCCCCACCCTCAGCATTAACAGGAGTTGTTGGGCCAGCACAGTACACATGAGCCTGCCCCATCACCCTGCTACTTCACTGAACAAGTACAATGCTGCAAAATGCAGGGAGAGGTAGGAAAGGGAAACAGGCAGGAGTTCAGGGCAGAGGGTTTGTGGGGGGGCATACGAATCACTAAACCCTTCCTCTTGCAGGAGCAGAAGGCAGAGGAGAAGGCATGTGAATAGAAGCAGAGGAGTAACCTAGAAGGTAAAGGGTCATGTGGAGAACAGGCAAAGGGAGTTTGCTTCTAACAGTGATGATGGGACACAAGGATAACAGGGAACATTCAATGTCAGTTACTCTGCACTCAGAAGTCCTACTATTAATGACCCAAACTATTCCTGCCTTCCACGAGCACTAGGGACACAGGGAGGATGGGTGCACTTCTCAAGCCAGACATTAGAATATAAGAAGAGGAGTCTGAACTAACAGCTCCCCAAGTTTCTATCTTGATCCTAACAGAGCTGACAAACCAAATCAAAACCGAGTTCATTCAGTGGATCTTTCAGTCAGCGTGGATAGAAGCCAAATGAAAGACACACACAGTTTAGACCTTATTGCCAGAGCTCATTCCCCCATCCCACCTCCTCTATCTGGAAGCAGAGAAAGGGTCCTCCAGCAACTTTAAGTAAGGTACTGAGGCTTCCCCAGCTCAAGCAGCTGCTCTGTCTCTGATCAGCCAGTTTTTCAGTTCAAGACTCCTCCTTTTATGAGATCCTGGGAGAGGTGGTTCATTGGACAAGGGACTCTGTCACTAATACAAGAACTAGGCAGCAGAGGTGAGCTGCAGAGCAAAGTAATGGAGGATGGGGACACAATGACTCATGCATCGCAGGGAGAGTGCAAAACGTACCGTGGCTGCCAGTCCTCAGGGGTCACTGATAGTGATTCTGAAAGACAACATGAAATCAACATGGCAGTTCAGACAGGTCAAGGCAGAGGCCACACAGACTGTCAGGAAGGTGGAACAGAGACACACACTTGCACACACGCACACTCGCACGTTCCCCTCCAGAACACAGCACGAGTGTGCACTGCTGGGTAGGGCTGGACTTCACCATGCAGAACTTCACACACACAATCGCAGCCTCAACATCGCACACATCCAGAACCCTGTTGTGCACAGGGGTGTGTGGAAAGTCATCCCTCTGATCACATGCCTGCTGGCCACCGCTCACTCACCTACCCAGCAGGTCCACTCACACATCCAGGCTGGTTCATAACCAGCAGTTACCTACATCTCAGCACCCACCAGCTGGGCACAGGGCTTGACTTATTTCTCCCGGAGGACTCTTATTTTCTGACCATATTATATGCTAGACTTGAAAAAACAGCTCAGGAAAGAGGGAGACAACATGCAGTCCTGAGCACAACCCAGAAAGGGAAGAAGCAGGTGAATACTTGTTTTGAAGGTCATAAATCATAAGATCAGCTACTCTGATCTGAATAATCCAGGTCAAAGCTGTGTGAAGTTATGCTTACAGTGATGCTAATCACTTGCATCTTTTTCCTTAGATGGACCAAAGAACAGAGAACCCATTAATGCCTTAATCAGATTTTTCCAGTGGTTAAGTCATCCTCACTTAAACTTTATTTCTCCATTGAGCTTGCCTAAGCTCTTTCACCTATAGGTTCTATCAAACTATTTTAAACTGAAGATACTAAGTACCTGGAGGAATATCTTCATAGTTTTCCTTCCCAGAGCAAATCCTCCACATAGCTCCAATAGGCATGTATTCCAAATGTATACATTCATTGTATACAGATAGGACCTTACATTGTTTCTAACTTTCAGCTCCCAAAGATACATATTTTGCCATACTGACTTCCATACTAGACTGAATAAATGCTAAGTACAGAGAGAAACAGGATGGCAAGTCAATCTTGTTCTAAAAGTACTTAATTATATGCAAGAAAACCTTCCTGTGCAAGAAAACAGATCATGTGGTGTTTATATGTGAAAGCATGTGTCTATACAATTCTGTTTACAAGCAAGAAGTGCTTGTAAAGAAGTTTACAAGCACTTGTCTAAGTTCATCATCCATAAAATCAGATGGTCACAAACTGGAGGCACAAACTGCCAAACTTCTACTCAGGCATCAGTGTGCATACACACACAGAGTACAGCCAGCCACCACCACGCACTTCTAGTTCACTACATAACACCAACTCCCACAGCAAAGCCCACTCACACCATACACAAGAGCTTTGTTCCACACACACACACACACACAGAGTAGTGTAGCCTAAATAGCAAGTGAAAAGATGGGTATTAAAAAAAGCAACAATGGAGATGGCATTCGTTCACCCATGGCAGAAGGACCCGAGTCCAAGTGCTAGCAGGGAACATTCTTATTCTATATACAGGAGAGGAAGAGAAAGAGTCCCTTGTCATTGGAAATTCTCCATTCATCAGTGAACTCAAATGACAAGCTGGCATCAGGATCCGGAGGAGTCTATGAACAACTGGAAGAATCAGAGAGGGGGATCAGAGAATGAGCATCACTTCACAGCTTCTGGAATTACATTCCCAGCTCCAGATCAGGGCAGTGTGTAGCATGCAATCCAACCTAACATTTCTCCTTCTAAAGCAAGGGACCGCTTAGCTAAGTATGAAACACTGTCCTCCAGTGCTGTTCCCTGCCTTCCCCTAAACCCTTCTACCTCATGCAAAAGGCAGAAAAGCCCTTAAGGTAGGCTATGACAGATTTCTTTAAAAAATGCCAATTCATTTCAGCACATTTGGGAAATCCTATCATAATGATCAGGTATATAGAATATTTTCATGAGTGAAGAAATGAAACAATGATAGAAGAAAGATGTAGACAGAGAAAAACATAAGTATACTAAAACCAAAACAAAGTAACAGTATATGGAAAAGCAGGGTCACAAGAAGCAAGAGCCAAAATACACAGCAGAAGCATGCTGACATCCACAGGTGCCACCAGCAGGACTGCAGCCCCTGGGGCAACACTAAGGCATGTGTGGACAAGTTACTGTGGGAGTTGCATCAAGGTGCATCGGGAAGACTGGGGCAGAGGCACCAAGAAAGTAAAAGCATTTGCACACACCAGAGTCAAACTGGTCTATAATCTCCTTGGACTCATCCATCTCTAGGCTGGATACAGCCTGGCAGAGAATACTTCCCCTCCAAACAGGCAGTGCCAAGTGTGAGCTGGGGCACTATCACAGCAGGAAGACTAAACTGTCTCTGCCATATAACATCACCACCCATTGACTGACTGAAAATGGCAAAGCATCAGACATGTGCCACCAGCACCCACTGGAGGAGAGGTATCTTCCATGAGGGAAGTGTTCCCTCTGGTCTGTCATTAGGGAGTTTCTGGCTGTGTTCATTCTTTACTCTGCAATTTTCTTCTCTTCCTTACATGGAGACCAAGTACCCAGCATAAAAGCACTCCTGGTTGCAGACTGCCTCTTAAATCCTGTTCAGGAAAACGTGCTTAGCTGCACAGGGGATAATCCCTTATTACTACGTTGGAGTGTGTTTGAAGTGACTGAACAGGAAAGGAATTAAGTTTCCTAATGGGAAAGCAAAGCTGTGTGATATGAACCTTCTAGACTGGAAAATGTTGAAGTTGATCACAGAAGCAACAAAAATGCCTAAAAAAAATCCATTTCCCTGCTAGTGATATTGCAATATTACTGTAGCCAAAAAGCATCTGAACAGCTTAGATGAAGGTCTCTCCAAGTGACCTTGAAGAACCCTGGGCCAGGACAAAAGGGGCAACTTCAGACTTTGGGAAGCCCTATGCAGAGGGGTACCGCCTTGAAAAGTTTATATCACTCCAGTCCTGTGCTTTTTCTGGTGATCACCTCTTACTTGCGAGTAGAGGCATTGGTATAATTACTTTAATAAACTCCTGAGGTACAAGGTCCTCCTCCCCCAACCTTTGCACAGAGGTTTATGCAGAGAAGAGGATGTCCCTCTGTACCCAATAGCTGCCTTGGCATTGCCTCATCTGCACAACGAAATATCAGTGAACAACAATGCTCCTATCTATGGACCCAATTCAAATAGTCAAAGACAGTACCCACACCATGCACTCCATTCTACTTCTATGGCCCAGGCAGGCTAAATGCTGACAAAGCTGCTACCCAAAAACTGGACATATTCCACCTGCATGGAGCAGCATTTCAGGACTTACCTGGGAACACCAGGAGGAGCACGATTAGGTCGAGAAGGAACCTGAGGTGGGGGCCCAAAGGGATCAGGAGAGGCACCTGGCCTGGAGGGCACAGGGGGGGCACCACCCAGCGTGGACCCACCAGCAGGAGGTGGCCCAGGAGCTGGGCCTCGAGACCCAGGTCTGGCTGGTGGAACAGCGGGAGCTCTCCTCTGTGGCGTGGGGCTGGATGTAGGAGACCTGGCAAACAAACAGAGAAATTCAACTGCAGCAACAGGTCTGGGATCCCTCTGTGTCATCATCACGTCCCCACATGCTGCCTTCAAGTATTCCTTCTTTAGTTTCGTGTCACTTTACGCACCACCCTCTGGCTTTCAAGGGCCACACCAAGCTTCAGGTTGCCTTCAAAACTACTTCAGGCCCCATCTAACCTGAATGTTTAGAAGCCTCCATATCCTCTGTAAAGATGTAGCAGCCCTACAGAGCTTTCAAGGCCTAGGAGCCTCCCAACACAAATATCCAGAACTCTTCGTCCACGGGGAGAAGAGGGGAAGAGGAGGACTCCCTGTCTCAGTGAGAGGCCCCAGCTAGCCACTGAAGAGGCATCAGGCAGATCTGTGGGGCTCTCCCCCTGAGCCTCTGGTACCTGCGTCCAGATGGTACGCTCTGCACCTGCAGCCAAGAGTCGTCCACCGGTGGGGGCATAGGGGTGCTGATAGTGCTGGTGTTGATGTCCCCGATGATGTTGAGGGCCTCTTTCAGGGCATGGTACATGCGCAGCATTTCGTCACGTCGCTGGGCCTGCTCTGCCGATTCCTCCATCAGCGTATTTTGGTCACTACAGGAGTACAAGTTTGCCAGCAACTCCGAATGGATAAAGTCCTTGGTCTGCAAAGGAGCACAAAGAGTGAATTAATTTCCACTGTCGTCCCTAAAACACTCCATTCCACCCCCACCTCTTCTTCCTCCCAAGCTGTGTTCAGTTTTTCTTCATTCTTTCTTTCCTTCCCTATTTTTGCCCTTCTGTGTCTCCCCATCTCCACTGACCACAGTGTGATAAGTACATTGTTTATCATGAGGTGCATGATTGTCTTCGGCATGAGGTCTCTGATGGTTTTGTTGACAATTGCCATGTAGGAATCCACCAGGTTCCTGATTGTTTCCACTTGTCTCTCCAGCTGAGGGTCCATGGAGTGCATGAAACTGTCTGATCCATTCTCCTCCGCTTCACTGGCCTGCAGAGAAAAGGAGAAACAGATCGGTTCTTCAAATGTAACAGAATCAGCTTTCCATGAGGGAGTTAAGAGAAGAAAAGAAGGGACCACACAAGAAGGATGTGCAATAAATAAAACTTATTTAAACTTACATTTTGCATTGACAATTACAGCTCAGCTTGTACACTCCAGCTCAGATCTGAGGAGCTTTAACAATAAAGCTGCTCTCTTAGTAGAAAATATTACACAAAGGTGAAAGGCAACAGGGACTCCTAACCCATGTTCACAGGCTATGGCTCTAGTAAATATTCAAAGCTGTATTTTTACTTTTATTGTTTACAGCTTCCTTAAAGGTTCTTCATCTGAGCTTGGTTTTCCATGCCCAAATTCACTTTATATCTGAGAATCACACCATAAATTAAGCTTTACAGGCTTGCTGACACACTGCATCTTCTTCCTCAACATATAAATGAGAAAACAGATACAGAGAGGTGAAATAACTGCTCACCTCAGTCAGACCACAAGTAGATGGAACTACCTAGAAAACCTCTCTCATCACTTCAACTGCAAATCCTGCACTGTAAGTCATAATTATCTCTTCTTTCATACCAAGCAGATGAATCTGTCAGCCTGAAACGCATTGTTTAGCTTTCTATAAGGTAAAACCTGGACTGTGCCGTTTGGCAGCAAGCAATCGCCAATGCTCATCCATTTGGGATTAATTTCAAAGCAGCAAATAATGAAAAATCTCTTGTCCTCGTCAATGCTTATTTAAAAAAAAAAAAACAAACAAAAAAACAACCCTTAATTTTACAAAGAAAGATTTTTCTTTTAAACCATCCCAGTCTGAAGGATTCGCAGCAGTGTAGGAAATCACTTCTCTTTTGTTTTGGGAAACAAAATATATGAGAAAGAGCAAATTGTTTTGTTCATTTGAGCTTTTCCTGGGAAGATCTTACATAATGAAGGAACGCAAGGTCTCGGTGAAAACAAGGTAAAAGGAAGTGTATGTCAAAACAGGGCAACTTAAAAAAAAAAAAAAAGGGTCAAAAAACCCCAAAATAAGTTTCACACCAGGATTCAGAGGTCATACAAAAAGGGAGAAATAAAAAGAAAAAAGGAAAACTCAAACCAAGAACAGAAACAAACAGCAGCAATCCAACAGAAGGTACAAAGAGGGAGAAGCAGCAAATGCCTCTCAGGAAACTGTGACAAAAGGAAAAAAAAAGTGAGAGAACTATCCAGTGAGAGCCTCAGGGGGCAACACAGGCAGAGAGGGTCAGACTTACTTTGTCCTTGTCCTGGCAGGTCAGTTTGAGCACACGTGGAAAAATTTAAAACAAAAAGGGACAAAAAAATAAAAGAAGACTTTTAGTTGGTCTCAGAATTTGGAGAATATCCCATAATAGCACTGAACAAGCAAAAGACCAATCCCACTAGAATTACATAAATACCTAGATTACCATGGAGGAGGAACATGTGAATTGTTTAGCTAAACTGAAAATCAAAATGGGATGCTCTGCAAAGGAAATCGTATAATTAGCAAGAAAGGGCAACTTGCCTACAACGGCGACTTGTTATTCATTACATATGGCTTTGAGACAGTCAACCTAGCCACCAGCGTTCCTATGTCAAACCACTCCTTTTGAACACCAATAGGTGGCATTATGTCCTCTAGGAGTATGTGTTTAAGGGGCCAAGACTGGTTCAAAGCCAATCTCAAGTCATGTCACTGTTAAGGTCCAGTCCCTAATGCTCTTTTTGTAACATCACATCAATTTGTCAGGAAATGCTTTAAGGCAGAAACACAATCTTCAAGTGTAAACAGGAAAGATGAATGCAAGAAATCTATTGGAAGCAAATACAAACAGATAAGCAATTATCACTTTTCTAATGGGAAAACTATTTATAGCAGCTTCCTCTCACAGAGGAATAGGAAGGCTTTGAACAGGAACATATACCACAATTCTCTAGAACACACTTTTAAAGCAAGTGTTATGGGACAAGGCTAAGGGAAGAGATAAGAGGCCTCGCTAAAGGAGTATGTGAAGGTATCTACCAAGCAAAAGAAAAATTCAAAGAACATCCCTTCCTAATTGGGTGGAAATGGGAGAATAACCACTGATAAGCCAGGAAGCTCATAAGGCTGCACAGGCTTACTGAAAGGAAAGAGACAAAGCCTTCATGGACTTATTTTTAACATAAGAAGATACCACTATCATTCTTAAGATACACACTGCATTCCTTCTCACCCCATTATCATGGCTGTAACTTACCCCAACACGCTCTGGGTAGACTCCTGCACGAAGGAAGGAAGCCTTCCAGCTATCCACCTCCTCCTGGGTCTCACAGGCCAGCTCCAGCTGCCGGTAGTCCTTGTAAACATTCCTGAGAGGAAGACAAACGTTTTATTCTTCTTATTGCAAATCAGAGATTTGCCCATATTTGAAAAAGATGTCAATGACCAGGGAATCTGCCTATCATTTTAAGGCAGAGACACTTAGTTCCTTGCTAGTGTTCCCATGATAACCCTGCAGAAGGGAAAGGAAATGAATTCTTTTTATGAGCAAGTTTGCCCCAAATCTGTTGTGTGCTTCAACGGGGCCTGAAGGAGATTCCCTTTTCAATTCCGCTTTCTGCTGGACTTCTACAGTCAACCTAGGACCCTCATCTCCTCTAGTTTTCCAACTAAGAATGTTGATTATGAAGAATCCAGCCACAGCCAGAGACCCAAGCAACCACACCAAATAGCTGAAGGCTAAGGTCACACTGCAGGCCATGCACTAGAGAAGAAAGAAAGTGGTACACATCTGTAAAACCAGACTTCTTTTTGAAAGTCCCCAGTCTCCTCCAAAAATGGCTGTCTTTAATGGCTTATCCTTATCCACACATCTTTCCCAGACAGCTATGCCAACACACTCATCTTGACTCTCTCCTATCTAATATTGCATAAATCCCTTCAACAGCTTGGCATGTTGAGATGTGAGCATACCTCTGTTCAGTGTTGAAGAGAGCAAAGATGTGCTTGCTGGACATGAACCCCTTCTCGACATCTCGCAGCTTCAGGTTATCCACTGGTAACATATACTTCTTCTCCTTCTCCTGAAAAGGGGATCAGTAACAAGTCTCTCACTGCTCCAACAAAGCCTCTACTCTGGCAGCACAGAGCAGTCTGTCAGCAATACAGGCTCCACATCACCAGGGAGGCATTCTCAACCCAGGTTCTCTGTTCTCATGTCTGTGAGGAAAGGGAACCTCTGGAAACAAGAGTTTTGTCCTTCCAGACTGCTTCTGTGATGTGGCTCCGTTAACTCCTCCAGAAGCAGGCAACAGCACGGCACTGTCCCAGTTTCCCAGGCTGTGGTCAACATCCAGGTCCTCACTCTTCCTAGCATGGGGTAAATCAGCACCAAGACCCACAGCAGCCACTTGATGCCCCAAGCAGGTCTCTGCCTGGAAAAGGCTCATCACACCTCTTCTAAGGACAGCATTAATGGGGGTAAATACTACTGCTGATCAGGGCAGGGGCAAGCCCTGCTGTTACCACCTCAGTGTTTTACTTTTAATCACTACAAGCCTATATCCAGGTTCAAGAAAAGCCAGGCATGTGATAGAGAAGCTGGTTTGACACAGAAGTTCTGGACTATATAAACTTCACCTCTTTAGAAAAGCTGACTTTCTCACCTCATCCTATCACTGTCCTAACTATTGGTTACAGTAAACCCTTTTAAAGTATTAAGTAATAATAAATATGCATCAGAAAAGAGCAGGTCTGGCTACAATAATACAGGTTACTGTTACATTATCTGAAGGCCCCTGGTGGTGAAAAAATGAAGTAACTGTGCTCACTAATGAAAACCTCATGCTCTGAATTATTAGAAGCTCAGGCAATACGGGTACTTTACTGCTTGATAAATGTTAAAAACCAGAGCCTGAAATTTTAGTGACCAGATTCAGAGCTTTAAGGGGCCTGTTTTTCAGAGTAACTGCACTCACAACCCTCTGGTCTGGTTCTCACAGGACATCTCCAGCCAAACACAGAACGAGGCATCCAAAAACCAACCTCAACATTTTTGATGCTAGGTATCATCTTTTAACAAACAAACTTGATCTTAATTTTTACATTTACACTCAGAAACTAAGTCAGAAATTCTCCCTGCTTAGTCTCAAAGCTGGATCTCCAGCAAATTAACAGAAAGAAGTGAGTTAGGTTTAAGGTCCCCATTTGGAACACCCTGTTCCAGCTGGGTATTATACCCCAACACAACAAGAGAGGGAGCCATCACACTGGTCTCCAAGAGGCAGAATGCAGTTCTCCAAGACTGAAATAGAAACACAGCTTACTTTTGTGTGCAAGCATGCATGTGTGACTGTCCCCTTGTGAGCATCTTGTGTTTGTAGGCCCTTCTTGGCTGGAAACAACAAAACATGATTGCTCTCGGGGAAACAAGAATGGAAAACAAAGATAGTCAGTGAGCAGAGATCCTGAGGAGCTTGGCTAGAAAACAGGGGCAGGGCAGAGCAGCAGATAAGGATGACAAAGCTGCTGAGCTCAAACACCCAGGGGATAGCAAGTCAAGCCTTAATGTCTTCTTAAGTTTCAGTTAAATCGATTTTCTAAGGATACCAGACAATACAGAGTTCAGACATCCCCAAAGATCAAACTATACCAGGCCATTACAAAACTTATGCAATGAGAAGTCAGCACCTAGAAAACAGAAGAGATCACTTGGGTAGCTACCAAACTCTGCATCCTCTCTCACCAAAGATGCCAGGCTATGAAAGCGGGAGAGCTCTTCCAAGCAAGTTCTGGATTTTTCAGTATTGTTGATCTGTCGAGATTAGAGGTGGGCAAGCACTTTTGTGATGGAACATCTGTCAGCCAGGTACTGGTCTCAGAGCCACACAGACCACTCAGGTTCTGTAAGCCACAAACAGCTTCCAGCTTCCTATTGCTTTAGAAATTATTACTATAGTCATATTAGTTATTACTATGCTGGATTAGGTTGACCTAGTGACCTGTAAGTGAAGGATATCAACTGCTAAGTCCCTAGGTGAGACAGACTATCCTCACTGCAGTCTCACTTCACTGGAATTCCCTGCATTCCCCACAAAGTCTCTGGGCTAATCAAAAAATAACTGATGTTAAAGCTGTTTGAGAAAAATCGCTCTGCATTGGAACCACATCATTCCATAGAAATCTAGCAATGGAGTTATTCTTCAGGAAAAAAGTCAAAAGGTAAGGGAATCCCATGTCCCAAATATGGAAATATATGCTCTTTGCCAGAGTTTCAACTTTCAACCCTTCCAAGCTCTTGAATAAATGCTGCTGTGGGATCAAGACAACGCTATCTCTGCATACTGATCTTTCCATACACCAGAGGAAAGACTCGTATATCTGTCTGCCAGCATAAAATATCAGTCCTCTGAGGCAGCAAGAGCAATCAAACAGAGGACACTGGTGCAAGGCAAGAAACCCCCAACCCACACACGCTGCAGGGCAGTGCACACTGCAGTGAGCCCCTGCCACTCTCCATCTCCCCACACTTCCCCCCTCCTGGTCCCCCACTTCAGCCTTTCCAGCTTCTCAGTTTTCAACCCAGCCTGTTTTATATCAACACTCTGACTTCATTTCCTGAATGTAGAGACAGGAAAGTGTGGAACGAGCTGCCAAGGGCTGAGCCTCTCAAAACTTTGGCTGAGCCCTCTGCCCATATGTTAGCAATCTGGCAGTATGTGCTATGGCTGAACAGCATCCTGGCCAAGAGGGGAAAAGGGCTTCTCTCTCTTTAGCTTTCCAGACTTGGAGGAGGGGGTGGGAAGAAGAGGAAGAGCCAGCACACATCGAAATGTGAAAGCAGTTTGTTAAATACTATATTCAAAGCCCTCGGTCTGATCCCAAGAGGCTTATGTTGCTCATATTTCACCTCATCTATAAGACAAAAAAAAAAAATCAGGCAAAACTCTCTCTTAGCAGCAGAGTATGTTATGTAAAATGTGCACACTGGCTGTGAGATAATCTGTAGAGCTGTGAGGCCAAGGAGAGGTAGTGAAGAGGCAGAAACACTCAGACTGGCCACACAAGACAGAACATGGACGCTCAGTGGTGGCTAGGGAGTGTTGTAGGCATGGGGCTACCTACCCCTCATCAAGGCTGCTGCTCCCAGGGGGAGTCACACCACTTGCATGGCGAACTGCAGAGAGAGATGACTGCAAGCTACTTCCACAGGCAGGATAAGTGCCAGAGGATTACTCCCCCGCCCCCAGCATAGCGCAGATACAGCCATATGGCTCTGTACTTTGCATCTACCAAAGAAAGAAAATGCACATGGCCAGGAAGGAGACCAGGATCCATGAGCCATTCCAGTTGTGGGGTGTAAAGCAAAATAGTTGGAGGAAAGCAAAAAAAAGAAGATGTTGCAGTTGCAGTCTCATGTTGCAACATCCTTATTGTGGCTACACACCTTATTGTGGCTAAATTCTAGAGACTGGTTCTGGCCAGAGACAGCAATGGCTTGCACTATCATCTTAATTATTTGTTGCTATCCTGTAGGTAATAACCTACAAGAAGTCCACAAAATTCAGCAGGCCAGCCTGACTCAAAGCATTTCCTCCCATTCTACTGGACTACCTCAACAGCAAGTTACATTTTCCTACTCTTGGAGATATGTGACATAAGCTGACAGATGCATGTGTGGGCTCCCCTAAGGTTGGAAATTGGCACTCACAGTACAAGAAAGTAATTGGAAGAATTACTAGGTCTCAGTTTTCATTTGGAGCACAAATAAACTAATTAAAGGTTTCCCTATAGCTGTTATGACAAACACCACCTTTTGCACAGAGACAAGGGTCTATAGATACGGGAGAAAAAACACTGCCATAGTTTTAATTGGTGCTCATGTGAAATTAGGAGAAATTCATCTTGCTTAAACCTCTTAATCTCCTTTCCTTCTTCTAAGATGTAAAGCACTACGGGTAAACAAACCTGCCCCAGAGATGAGTGGAGTTTCAGTCAAACCATTTGTGTTAAACACATGCACAGCATTCGGGAACTCCTGTGATAAAACTCTACTCAAATGGAGAAGCATTAACACCATCATAGACAATAAACACACTGCATGAATACATGTACACTACAAGATCACTAGGAAGAAGTCTCTGAAACACAGTCTGGAGCATTTGAAAGCAACTTTGCTGAGCATTTGTAGTTGAACACCCCCCCACACTTTCCTTTTTTAAAGTAGTACATTAGAAGAGCAGATTTTCTATGCTGTGATTCTTCCAGGAAGCCCTAAGTCACACCACAACATACATTAATCTCAAGAACATCTTTCCAAAACACAGCCTACTTGTAACACTTAACTTTTACCTCCAGAGCACAGTTTACTGGACGCTGTGGTCACTGCTCCAAGCTGCAAGCAGCTGTAATGGCTTGTTTACATCAGAAAGCTGCATTGGTTTAACTTAAACAACACATCCTAAGATTTTAAGCTGATTTAGTCCAAAAGCTCTGTAGACACTAGGCCTGGACTCATGTGATTAACCACAACTATTACTGTTGGCTTAGTAAGCACAGCAATGGTAATCAACTCACCTGCACGTAAGTAAAGATTTTTATTTACATCAGCTGAAATAATGTGCAGATTTTAAACAGGCAGCTAAGGGCAGCCTTAGGAAGCTGTCAGAGCATGTACAAGAAAGCACAGGCAGAAATGGAGTAGCTTGAGAGGGGCTACAGCACCCCAAACTCCACTGACACGGCCTCTCTAAGGTCACAGCAATGCCCACCCGTCTTTGCAAAGGACAAGCACACATTTCTTCCCACACCTGTCCCTGTGCCAGGATAGGGATGAAGCAACCCCAGGTACTTGACTTGCTTTGATGAGGTACAGTGCAACACACAAGCAGAGTGTTGCACACCTCCAGGAAAAGGAGAGGGCTGGTTATCCTTCCCCAGTGCATCATTAGATTCCAAGTGGGAGCTCAGGGTATTCAGATATTTTACCACAAATCTTAACTGTCCAAGAGCATCCACACAAGAGAAGGGAATCCTGGAAAGGAGATGCGCGGCGTACATAAAACCCTCTTTATCCCTGCAGCAC